GCTGTGGGGAAAAGGGAACCCTTCTCCACTGCTGGTGGGAATGTAGACTGGTGCAACCGTTATGGAAATCAGTATGGAGACTCCTTAGAAAAGTTAGTGAGGGCCCTTCTGCTGCATCGTCATGTATCAGAGCCAGAGAGGCTGAAGGCCCTGAGCTCATTTCTGCCAACCCTTTAGGGCACCAGAGCCCCGTCGCCATTCCATAACAAGGGGACTTCAGTTTCAGCATAAGTTTTGAAAGGGACATTCAGACTACAGCAGGTCTAAAAGACATTTCATCAAAGAGAATGTATAGATGGCAAGTAAGCAAAGAAGATTTTTTTTTTTTTTTTTTTTTTTTTTTTTTTTGTGGCTGACTCACCCTGCCCTGCGGGAGGGGCCGGCACAGCATGTGGTGCCAGGGATTGAACTGTGGTCCCTGTGGTTGCCTACACTTGCCTACACAGGCACTTTAGACTGCTGCGCTATCCCACTGGCCCCAAGAAAAGATGTTTAATATCTTCAGCTGCTAGGGGCTGGTGAGATGGCTCAGTGGTCTAAAGCACCTACTTAGAACAAGCTTAGCAAAGCACAGGGACCACGATTCAATCCCCCAGCACCACATGCCAGCCAGCCCCACCCCCTGGTGGGCTGAGCTGGCCACACACACACACACACACACACACACATAAATAAAATAAATAAAATTTAAAAAAAATATCTTCAGCTGCTAGAGAAATACAAATTAAAATCAGAGTAAATTATCACTCCACTCCTATCATATTGGCTCAATAACAGAAACAAAATATCAGTACCAACTGCTGGCTAGCATGGTTATTCATATACTGCAGTGGTAATACAAAATGGCACAGTCCTTTGGGAACATTTGTCAATTTTTATAAAAACAAATCATACAAATAACATATAATTCAGCAATATCCCCTACAAAGATGATGGTTAAACAAACTGTGGTACATCAGCATTGCAGAGTGCTACTGAGCATTAAAAAGGGACAAGCTGCTGAAGCAAGAACTTCATTGTCCATGAAATCACTCTGATTGGAAATAAAATTTCCAAAGGTTACATAAGTCTATTTGATTTCATTTGAGTTACATTTTAGAACTGTATGTACTCTCTGAAAATTGCTATGTGGAAAGCTAATTTACAGTGGGACTCTAGCTAGAGACAAAGCCTTTATGAGCAGATTGTAAGGGCAGCACCTGTAAGAACAGAATTTGCACCCTTCTGAAAAGGACCCCAGAGAGCTCCCCCATCTCTTCCACCCTGTGGGAACAGCAAAACCTCGGCATTCTACAAATTGATAAATGGATCCTCTCCAGACACCAAATCTGCTGGTGCCCTAGTCTTAGATGTTGCAGCCTCCAAACTATAAGAAGTTCAAATGGTTTACAAGCCACCCACACTGTGGCATTCTCTTACAGCAGCCTGAACAGACTATGACATAAGTATTAAATATCTCCTATCTTAAATTTCTAAGCATGTATTAACTTTTATTCTGTAGCAATCCTATCTAGGGGGTTAGTTGTTATTATACCTGTTTAAATGTTTGCTCTGCAATGTTGGAACATCATTCAACACAATAATAAAGAGAAAAAAGCTTCTCCCTAAAAACATCAGTAGTACATCCGAGAAACCAGCCCCCTTCCTGGCACATAAAAGACTCCCAATATATACTTCTTAACCATATAAGCAAATCTATCCAGGTTTCAACTCTTATGATTCATGTATTATAAATCATTAAAAATTTATCCTTGCTCTTTCAAACTACATGGTAAATACTAAGTGGAGATTTTTTAATTGTGAGCACAGGTCAATTTCTCGTTTTTTCAACCCTAATGGATCAAGGAAGATGGAGTGGACATTGAATATCCTGGGAAACAAAAACTCTGGAGCCAGCTATTACTTTGTTGCAATACTCTAGAACTCTGTGTGTACATCTTGAGAGCAGAAGACTCAGCCATCGTGAGGTCTAAAAGGCTTTTCCACATACTAGAGTATTCAAACATTTACTGCTATATTCCATGAAAAAACAAACAACAGAAAACCTCAAAACAAATGTACATCAATGGGTGACTAGTTAACTACTCTATTTATTCATGGGATCATTATGCCTTCAAGAAAAAGAAAAGATGAAATCTAATGAAGTCACATGGATAGAAGTCCAAGGTTTTATGAGTTTAAAAATGCAGTCTCTAAAGTCATATATAACATTCTATGGTTATACAAACGTGAGAAGAGGCAATTTACACTTAAAAAGAACAAAGGCAATATATGACAATTATTTGGGGGGTAAGGTGATCACACAAAGAACTTTTACTTTGTTGAATTTTTATAATTTTGTATTAATGGTATTTTTTATGTGTGTTAAGGACTTCTGCAATAAAAAAATATTTAAAAATAAATTTTTAGTTTTCCAGCAATGACTTAATTTACAAGAATGCACTTGCCTCCACTATTTCAAGAACATTTACAAACTAATTTTATATAGAATTCTATTACTATATAGTGTGAATCTGCTCTGTATATTTTTATATGCTTTTAAACTTTATCACAAACTAATCTAAAATCCCATGTGGCTATATAACACAATTCCTATAAATAAAAATACTAAGTATGCCTCTGTGAGCAAGTTTTGACTAAGTCACACAGGTAAAAGATCATAAAGGATAAGATATATAGTATTATTATATACTAATAAGGCATTATCCAGATATAAAGGATAATAGAAGTAGAATTCCAAGCTAAACAATAAAGTCAGTTTTACACAGTTCCTACACCTACCAAAAGGGCAGCAGTAGAGGGAAATGATCGACAGCAGCTTTATTCTGCTACCTTAATATTTAGAGAGGTTCAGTGTGACAAAGCTCAGCGCCTGTCAGGATTCCAGTGTCATTGCAGCTTAGAGTCCTTAAATGGGCTAAGGTAGGAAGATTAGCCAGTGATTGTTTTTAAGTCATGTCAAGAGTTTTCCACAAAATTCTCTGAGAAGTACAAACAGTAAAATGACATCTCAGTGTACAATAAGCATGGCACAATGATAGAGATTATCAATGTGTGTCAGTAAGATGGACAGCTGTTTACCTCAACATGTGGACCCCTCAATTACTATTGGAACAGAACCTCCTAACTGTGACTCCCTAGGTCTGGATCCCCTGATGGAACCTATTCCAGAAACCATTTTTACTAGAGCTATCTTGGAATAGGAACAAGGGTCCCTTCCTGCTTGCTTTTCACTGGTTCTACAAAGCACATTTGTAGGAAGTAACTGGTGTCTTTGCTTCCATGCATGAAGGGAGATTGCATAGGTGACAAAACTGGCAGGAGAGGCAGGATGTGGCTTTAGCTCTGCCATTCAGAAGGCCATGGTTGAGGCAGGCCTCTTTTCTCTAAGCTTTACTTTGTGTGTGTATGTTGTACATGTGGGTATAAACATGTGTACAACCCTATCCACAGTTAAGTGCCCCAGCAGACTAATATGATATGCTCCCAGCAATAGGGGTAGAACAAAATCTTAAATCTTATTATAGGGCAGTGATGGTGAACCTTCTAGAGCTTTAATGATAACAGCCAACCTGTTGCAGCACATGTACCAAAGGTTTCCCAACATTGGCTTAGGGATACTTAAGAAAGTACAGCAGGCAATGCTGGTTTTCAGGACTGAAGGTGGGGCCCAAAGGGTAGAGGAAGTGCCCACTGTTCAGTGGAAGGCCATCTTACCAAGGCCTTTGCTGCTGTCATTTTGCTGGGTTCTAAATTACTGCTTACTCACCTCTACTCACTTGTGCTAAACACAAACAATAATAAATACAATACCACAATTACAGAAGGCTTTTCATCCCTTCTCAAAGGCATACCATTTGCTAAACAGATCATGTGAGGCCTAAATAATTAATGACAAATTGCCAGGGAGCAGTGCTTAATTAGATACTGTAAAAAACTGAGGTATAGTTTTCTTTTCCTTCCTTTTTGTTTTTAAACACCTATGAAGAAAATGACCAAAAGCATGTATATTACCTTGTTAACTTTGACACCTTCTTTGGGAGTTTGTTTTGTTGCTAGATTATACCCAATCATCTGTTTAGCCAGCTGTCCCACAACTTTGGGGCTGAGGGTGCAAACAGAAAAAGAAAAGAAAATCAGTGTTAAAATTCATTTTCAGCAGAGTCCACACATCCTCACACCTATACCACACAGCGCCCACATTCCACCCCCAGAACGCAATTCTCTCCACTCCTATACTAGGTGCCTAGCACTGCGCTAGAGCTGAGAGCAAAATACAGATGAGGAAATGGAAGCAAGAAATACAGATGTTTGCTGAGCTCTGCCATGCTCACCCTTCCATTAGTTACGATCATCACTAAGACACAATGCTGTGTAAATTTAGACAAAAACTGAATAAACATTTGGGAGGGGACAATTTGGGAAATACTAAACACAGAGAGAAATAAGCAAGAGCACAGAGATAAAGTAAATAATGAGGAGTAAATAATGTGACCAGGGATAAGAGGGAAATGTTCAGTGCTGGAAGAAACACTGAAGACAGTCTCAGAGGAAAGCAGACATAGATTACTAGGTGAGAGGATCTGATGCCACTGGTAAAACAGAGTGACTCTAGTTGCTTTAATAGAAATGACATTGTACAGCAGCATTTCACTTGCAAGTAGTATACTTCTAACACTTATGAGGAACTGTTTATTGTATGGGAGAGAAACATAAAATTTCCATCAATTACAGAAGAACAAAACCTCTAAGAGAGCAGAAGAAAACCTGTTGCTTCTACTTGCTGTGGCCTGCTCCTGCCAACCCCCTAGAATCCTCAGTGGGCCCCTCCATCATGATCCTCCATATCACGTGGTTCAAAGGCAAGGAATTAAAACCCCAGACTCACTCTTTTGTTAAATGAACACCTCCTTTCAGGCCACTATTGAAGACACCTTTTCCTCTTCCTCCAGCTAAGATCTGAGCTTTCAAAACAATCTCTTTGGCATCTGAAAAAGAAGAGTTGGTATTTGATTTTAAATTTATTTTCCACCATTTTCTTCTTTTTTTCTTTTTTTATAAGCAACAAAGAAATCAGTAATGATACAGAACTTACAAATACCAGGTGAAAGTGCCCTCAAATCAACTTTGAAAATAAAGGCAATAAAAAACATCAAAATCACCAGTGTGCCTAAATACAAAGCTTGTGCATCAAGGATAATCAAAGCTGCCTGCCAGTTTAATCGGCCAATACTCAAGGGCCCCAAGAGAAACAGGGCCTGTGCTCCCTTGCTCTTTTGAGTGAAGTCAAAAGATGTTAAGGAAACCCAGGATAGCAGCATGAGCTTTACTGTGCAATGATAATCCCCTGTGACAGGGCACCAATCTGCCATCAGAGGAGTTAACTACCTGTCAGCCGGGGGACACGGAAAAGGAAAGACCAGCTTAGGAAGGGAAAAGGTTTAAAGACAAGACACAAAGGCCATAGGTAATAACTGTATTCTTAGAAACCAACAGTTTTCTGAGCAGTTGTTCTATATATTGATAGGTGTGGACAAAGAGAAAGGAAATGAAGAAAGGGATTAAAACAAAACAGGCAGCACACCAGAGATGAATATATACTTCTTAGAGGAACAAATACAAATGCCAAATAAATACATGAAAAAAATATGTTCTATAGCACTGGTCATTCAAGAAATGCAAATTAAAACAACGTTGACATACCAACTCACCCCAGAAAGAATAGCTGTCATAAAGAAATCAACTAACAAATGCTGGAGAGGCTGTGGGGAAAAAGGAACCCTTCTCCATTATTGGTGGGAATGTAGACTGGTATAACCACTACAGAAATCAGTGTGGAGATGTAGAGAGCCCATGCCGCGAATCGCGGCTTCA